GAGAAATGGCTTGCTTGAGATTCTTGAGGAACAGGATGACCAAGAAAATTTCAGTCTAACTCAAAAAAAAATACTTGGTTCTTTATCTTCCCCTGAAAGTCAAATTGTTTTTTTCAATGCACCTACAGGAGAAGGTCTTATTTCTGGTGAGGGTAGATCTCAAATCTTGGAAGGTATAAAAAAGATTTCTTATTTGGAAAAACCAGAACCTAGTATTTCTATTCCAGCTGAATCAAAATATCTTATCAAAAATTTAGCAGATAAACTTAACAATGACATAGAAAATTTTATAAAACATAAATTTTATCCAGGAATTCTTGGTAAATTAATAGATAATCATTCAGGCACAGTTAAAGAATTGAGAGAGTCTCAGTCTTTAAAGTACTTTTGTGATCAATTGAACAAAATATCTAATGAACCACAACAATTTGAAAATAATCTTTGTCAAATTTCCTCAATCACTAAACTCTTCCAAAGAAAAGAACTTGAAGAGGAATTTGATAAAAAAATTTTACAATTAAAATTCATTAAGCTTATTAAACCAGAATCACTTGAAATTAAAGACAATACTAGTAGCTGGCATATAAATCTATTCAGGACATAGGTATGCTAACATCACCTGAAAAATATCAACAAGGACACAAGTTAATTTTCAAAGGCCTAATTGTTGGAGCTGAGGATATTAATGATGCTATGAAAGGTCAAGAACTATCTGAAGTAAATGTGTATAGCTTGAATAGTTTATTTATTGATGAAGATATAATTGCACCAGGAGTTAATTTGACATTAATGTCTCCCAATTGGTATGTTGTAGGCAAAAGAAAAATTAGTTTAAAAGGTAAACCTGGCACTTGGCACCAACTAAGTAAAGCAGTTGATGGAATTGATGAAATCAATGGAAATAAAGAACTGATTGATCAAAACGATGAAAATAGTGAACCAATTGATGAAAACGATGGAAATAGTGAACCAATCGATGAAAGAGGTGGAGAAGATGGATTACCTGGGTTGCCTGGATTGCCTGGTAAAAATGGAGGGGATTTCTATGCCAAAGGAAAAAAATTTTTCAATCTTTCTTCCTTAACTATTGATGTTAGTGGTGGAGATGGTGGACAAGGTCAAGATGGTGGTAATGGTGGCAATGGACTGGATGGTTCACATCATGGAAAAAAAATTGTAGAGAGATGAATCTGCTGTTGTTTCAAGGAAAAAAGTAATAGAAAACATCATAGTAAAGGGGTTTAAATTTCTTTTCACCTTTAATAATATATTTAAAGAAACATTTGTAAGTTATGATCCAGGACATAAAGGAGGAAGTGGTGGACAAGGAGGGGAAGGAGGCTTTGAAGGGAAACCTGGCTTTGTAGTCATTGATAGTCCATTTCAATTATCTGGAACTCCGGCTATTTCTAAAGTAGAGAGTAAGAAAGGTGTAAATGGAACAGGAGGGAAACCAGGAAAAGGTGGAAAAAATGTAAAATATTGTGGGGTATACATTAATGAAATGGTAATTCCTGAGATTAGAGGGTATAATGAATTTGGTATTGAATCTACTAAAGGAGCAATAGGAACAGGGATAGCAACAGCCACAGGAGGTGTTGTTGCCAAAGCAACAGCCAAAGAAATAGTTGTACAACAACCAGCCCGAATAACTATGAAGGAGGGGACAAAGCAATTAGTCTCAAAGGGGTGATGGTGGCAAAGTTCATCTGTTATAACAGCAGAAGGTAGTAAGGTAGCAATGCAAGAGGTATCTAAAGGCACTCTTAAGATTGTTTCTCAAGAGGCAGCTGAAAAAATAACAAAAGAAGGAGGCGAAGTTGTAGTAAAAAATTTTTTAAAAATAGGTGCTACTGAATCAGGTAAACATGTTGTAAAAGTTGGTGCTTCTACTGGTGCTTCTCTGATCAAAGGTATGGGCATAGGCTTAATAATCCAAGCAGCAGCATCTCTGTTAAGTGCACGTATATCAAGTGGTTGGAAAGAAAAGGTACACAAAGTAAATTGTGAATATGAATATGCTCCTAATGGAGATTCACCCAACTCATTTAATGACCAAGGTATTCAAAGACCTACTGATCATCTTGAACTTTCCATAAACAAAGAGAAAAATGATTGTTATAATAAATTTTATACACAGAGAAAAAATGATCATCTTCTTCCTGATGGTAAGTTTATTAAAGAACTGAACGTGGAGTTTTTATCAAAAAAAAAAGACCTAATTAATGTATTGTATTATTTATTATTACAGCGTGTCTCAATTTAGAAGACCTTGATTTTACATTTAGCAGATGAAATTTCAGAAACCCTTATTTAAATAGATTGTTATTAAAAATATTTGTCGCTTATTTTTCTTCACAAAAATCACTAAAAAATATATGAAGCGGAGATTTATATATAAATATATTTATTTATTAATTAAAAAATAATAATTGACGTTTGTTAAATTGTTAAATTGTTATACACTCCAAGTTTTTATGCAAAACAATAGAAAAAACATGGAAATCAAAAAAAACATTTGCATTATATTAAAAAAAAAGGAAAGCTATGTAGAAAGTTGGAATTTTGAAGGTTTCCCATTATCAATTTCTGTGTTGTCGATAGTACATACAGTACCTGGACAAAAGTATCGGAACACTTGCTTTTGTTAATTGCGCAAAAATATACATAATAAACATATATGAAATTTATATCATTTGCGGTTTAGGTTCTTGTGAATATCTATGG